GCAATGGCAAAGAGAAAAATCTCCGCGACATTCGAGTCGTCCAATTTATCGGAAATTCCATTTGCGCCGCGTGTAAAGTTTCATTTCATCGCATCTCTGTGCGGTTTGTTCCTCCTGGTTGGAAATCTCGAACGACGATCGTGTAAAAGTTCGGTTGGATGCCGAATTTATTAGAATCGGTTAGAAAAATTCGACGAGGGAAGAAGAGAACCGATCCTCGATTTTTCTTTCATTGTGGATCAAGACGTATATATATATATATCCGTACTGTAAGTTCCGTAACTTCCATTAACTTCCTTAAAAGGCCGAACTTCGTTCGAATTAGTTGGGAACGTGGACAGAAAAATAGAGAGGAAGGAAATTTTTGGAATTAGAAGGACAAAAATTTTCTCAAGTGGATCACCCTTCGCTCTTTCCCCTCGTTTCGCCCTTCGCTCTTTTTAACCATTAATGAAAGCGAGTAAAAATGAAAAGTTAAAACGAAAACTTGGCCATTCTAACGTGTATTCTACGAATCCTGGTTGATGATTCAAGCACGCCTCCCGGCCTCCCATCTTTCCTTCGAGATCCTACCGTTCTCTTGCGAGTTTAATTGAAGTTCTTTCCGCGAGGCAACAGCACCAAGTTTTCCGCCGAGTGTTAGAATTTTAACAAGTGAACTTCTTCAATTTCTCGATCCCCAGCGGCACGAAGAGGAGCCACTCGAACACTCGGTTGGCTCGTAGCCGCTGTTTACCGACACTCAAACCCTCAACGAGGGTTGTACCTGTAGTAGGTGCGCCAACGCATACCTCCAACGAAGTTGCGATGGACCGTCCTCCTTCTCCTTCTCCGTGCTTCCTCTTTTTTTTCTTTTACCCCCGTGTTGTCCACCCTGATTCGCAGGATGACTTTCTTTATTTGCTCGGACGTAGCAAGGGTAGGTAAATCTCAAGGTCCGAGGGAAGAACGAAGCAAGTTTGGACCAACTTGGGCCAAAGCGTACGTTTCCACGCGATCCAAAGAGCGGAACGAAGATCTCTGGTGGGATCTCTGTTCGACGAAGTTCGAGTCGAATTGAATCGTGACTTCGATCGTCGTGTGCACGGTTTACGGTTTCGTCGATCGTGTTCCACGAACCGAAGGCCCTTTGCCTTTGCGATCTCGCGCCGAATATCTCGCCATCGACAGTGCTAATTAACCGGACAGTCTGTTTGACTTGGTCGATATTTCCCCGTCCCTTTCCCGAGATTATAAAGGGAGATTAATTCGATCGACGAAATTGAAAAGTAGTGCTCCAACAATTTTGAAATTCTAAATTCGATTCAAACTTTAATTATTGATTAATCATTAGCGGAAATGTTATCCGTTACTTTGATATCCAAGCTTGTCACGAGCTCGGCTGTCGAGAGTTTGCCTAATAAGGCGTAGGATATATTTTATCGAGGTTATTAAACCATTTCGAATAATTGTGACCATATTTGGCTCTCCGCAGACAATTCGAGCCAAGCTTATCTCTTTGCCTTCCAGTATTACAATTAAATTTCGCCGTATTTGATAAACGGTCGTGCAATTCCCTTTGGATAAGCTCAGACAGGATTTTTCTCGACTCGAATTTTCATTTTTCGTCAAAGTAACCGCGATAGAGATTCTTCGTTCTCCTTTTCTCTTGGTCATTTCCCCGTTCCTTTGTATTTCATTGATTTCAATCGGAAATGTCTCTCTCTCTCCCTTCGGCTAGGAGGCCGCCAATTTGAATATATTAAGCGATTCATCTGAATTTAATAGGGGAGGCATTAAGGCAATAAAAGGCATGCGAGGTTAGAGCTTCCCTGTGTACTTGCTGTACACGTCTCGTTTCTTATACGTCGTGTCGACCCTTAACCTGTGCCTCGTCGACACGGTTTTCGTATATATCCTTGAACGAGGTTTTGTATAAGGGAGGAGGAAAAGGAGGAGGAAGAGGAGGGATGTTAATATATTCATGAGACATCTTTGGTAAAGCTGATTCCAAAATAAACTCAAAAGTCGGCTCGTTTATTACGTTACTAGTAATTTAAGTTAACTCTATCTTCGTCGTCTCATTTCTGTCTCGCTTTATCTGACCGCAAAATTGACCCCTTTTACGAGGATGAAATTGGCCACTGTGCCACACCGATGAACGGGTCGTCGCAAGTATACATTGAGAGGGAAACTTTTTGGAAAAAAAATCCTCTCGTGTATCGTTTTTTTTGCTTTTAGCAAAAAGAAACATTCAAAATTCATGCTTACAATTCGAGAGATGGAGGAAGAAAATTAGATTAATAAATCTTTATTCCTTACTTATTTTTGAAAGATGGCTCTCATTAGTGATAAAATCCAACGATATCCTTAATAAAATAATCCTTAATATCCCAAGTTGTGCAATTTTATTTTAAAATCTATCTTTTAAAATATGTTCCACGAATGTATATTAACTTATCTTATATATATATATATCCACACTAAACTCTCTAATGCCGTGTTTTAATTTAGGAATTATTTTATTTTATAACTTTGGAATATCGATTCGCTTTGACCCGATGGTAGCCGTTTCCACCACGATAGAATTCCATCCGGTATTTTTGAACGTACAAGCACAATTCGATTGCGCAAACACAGTGCAATCATCGTAGTGCTCGCAATACAAAGTTGGCGCCGTGGTAGGTCGGGGTAGGTTCGGCTCTCCAGGGAATGGATGACGATCGTTAGTTATGGTCACGCACACCTCCATAGAATATGAGGTGGTCGACTATTCGATTGACACACCGCTCGTTCTATGTGGATTAAACGCGGTTGATAAGGTATATCTGTAATTTAGGCCCGTGTGTCGTGTTACCTGTGTCGAACCGAACGTCTTTATTATCGCTTTTGTATGCAGCCAGAGATTATTTATTACGTATACTTGTTCGCAAGTGACCCCCTCCGTCGATTTAATCGTGGCCAAGATTAATTTGTTATTTCGCCACCGCTAATTTTGCGGCTCGAATATTTTTTTATTATTCGTATACAGGTTTTAGAACGGTTTTAGATGGATATAAATGTTATGTATATATGGATGAATTTGCATTATTTACGGTCATATAAAATCGACGGAGGCGGTTAATTAATTAATTAATTGATATAGTTGTGTGTAAATTAATGAAATTCACGAGTTATTTAGATAGTTGCGTAAGTAACGTAACATATTGTTTATCGAGTGTATAATGGGGTAAAATGGGGTAGTAAATTGGTTCGCTAATTATGTTAGTTGTTTCAAGCAAAATCGAGCGAATTATTAAAGTAAACGAGGTAAATAATGAATTAACTCTTCTAACGCTATGGGAGTTATTTAAAAAAAAAAAATTCAAATTTAATTTCAAATATTGTATAAAAATTAAATTAAAAATCATAACACGTGCCATAATTGATCGTGAATATGAAAAGAGAGAAAGAGAGAGAGAAATTGGTTGGACAGAATTGAAATTTTAAAAGTGACATTCGCTAATTCAGCGGCTCTGTTGGCTCGCCCCCAAGTTGAAGGGTGTACGTGCCATCTTTAATGTCCCATCGAACACTTGTCACGCTTGTGACACGAGTTCAAAAGGGTAGGGCACGCCGGAGTCTGGGAGTCGTGTAAGGGGTCGATGAGAGCGAATTGCTCTCGTAATAAGTCATCGAGAGCAGCCGTTGGGAGACAACGTCCTCGTCTTTTGCTCGGTATCCCTTTAAAGAGAGTGAGAGAGTGAGAGAGATACTAAGGTGGGGTGATAGATCAAGCCACTTTACTTCCGGTCCCGGGATCCCTAGGCTCACGTAGTCGGCGCTCTTCCCTCTTTACTTGGCAGCATTGGTCTGCCATGCGTGGCTTGTCGGATTATATCAGTCCACGAGAATAGCATATGCTTCCGGTTACGTGCGAATGCACTTCGATCGTAATTCTTTGTTCTCGTGTCCGCGGGAAAATTAGCCACGGTGATGTATCGATGCGGACAGTGATCGATCGAGACACCGTTTTCGTTCCATTCTGAGGGATAGGATTTGAGATTGTGTATTGGAAGAGAAAAAAAAAAAAAAAAAAAAAAAGGGGGGAAA